AATGGAGTCCAGCTCGTCAAGGAAGACGACACAAGGAGCAGCAGCACGAGCCTTGTCGAAGATGTCACGGATGTTGCTCTCTGACTCACCGAACCACATGCTCAGAAGTTCAGGGCCCTTGATGGAGATGAAGTTGGCAGCACACTCGTTGGCAACAGCCTTGGCCAACATGGTCTTACCAGTACCAGGAGGACCATAGAACAGCACACCGCGAGAAGGCGAGAGGCCAAACTTCTGGAACATCTCGGGGTGGTCCACGGGGTATTGGACACTCTCGACAAGCTCGCGCTTGACCTCCTCGAGACCACCAATGTCGTCCCAGCGAACGTTGGGGACTTCGACCACAGCAACCTCGCGGAGGGCGGAGGGGTTGGAGACACCAAGGGCGAAACGGAAGTTCTCCATGGTGACACCGAGAGCCTCAAGAACCTCGGCATCGATGGTATCCTCATCGAGATCAATGAGATCCATCTTCTCACGAATTTGCTGCATAGCAGCCTCGGAGCAGAGGGAAGCAAGATCAGAACCGACGTAACCGTGGGTCTCGGCGGCAATGGTCTCTAGGTCAACATCCTCACCAAGCTTCATGTTCTTGGTGTGGATCTGCATAATCTCAAGACGGCCAGTTGGGTCGGGAATACCGATATCGACCTCACGATCGAAACGGCCGAAACGACGAAGAGCAGGATCAATGGAGTTGGGACGGTTGGTAGCGGCCATGACCACAACGTTGGAACGGGCCTTCATACCATCCATCAAAGTAAGAAGCTGAGAAACCACACGACGCTCGACCTCGCCATTGGTCTTCTCACGCTTGGGGGCAATGGAGTCGATCTCATCAATGAAGATAATGGCGGGGGAGTTCTTCTCGGCCTCCTCGAAGGCCTTGCGCAGGTTTGACTCGGATTCACCAGCCATCTTCGACATGATCTCGGGACCGTTGATCAGGAAGAAGAAAGCACCAGTCTCGTTGGCAACAGCACGAGCCATCAGGGTCTTACCGGTACCAGGAGGACCGTACATGAGGATACCACGAGGCGGCTTAATACCAATGGACTTGAAGAGCTGGGGATGACGGAGAGGCAACTCGACCAATTCACGGATCTGAGCCATCTGCTTGCGGCATCCACCAATATCATCGTAGCCAACCTCATTGAGGTTGCCCTCCTCATCCTCTCGCTGGATGGGCTCACCCTCGCAGTGAATAATTGTGTCCTGGGCAACAATGCCGTATTCGGGAGGGTCAACCTCCACAACCTTAAATTCGATTTGTCTCATACCACCTCGTACTGTGAACAGGTCACCCTGTCGGACTGGTCGGTAGGCCTCGCGGAAGTAGGGAGCAAGGTAGACATCGAAGAGAGAGCCGGTCAGGCCCTCAATGGTATCAGCGATGGGAAGGACAGCAATGCGCTTGGCCTAGATGACGAAGATAGAATTAGCCAATAGATCATGGGGAAAATGACGTGGAAATGCCCAACTTACATATTTGATATCGGGGCAAGGGTGCACAGTGATCATGTCGCCGTGCTTGACACGTAGGTTGTGACGCACAACACGGTTGATGCGGGCGCTTCCATCATCGAGATCGTCATCGGCCAGGACGATCAGCACAGTGTCCTTGCGCTTCTTGCCCTTCACGAGAACTGTATCACCACGGAAGAGCTGGAGAGTCTCCATGGTGTTGTTCGAGAGGGCAATCACCGAGTTATCATCGTTAACGGCATCGGTCACACTGCATGAAAACTGTTAGCTCCTTGCTCCCAAGATATATCTCTTATCAGCTACTCACATCAGAGAGTTGGGCTTCTTCTTCTTCTTCAAGATAGCGGTGGCGGTATCGAGTTCCTGCATTTTTCGTCAGTTCCGAGCCTTTTGTGAGCTGTCCTGTAGCCTATGCTTACCTCCTTCTTCTCGGCGCCAGAGGCGTCCCTGGAGTCCAGTTAGCATACTCAAAATAATCAAAGGAGTTTCAAATGAAACGTACTGCAGGTGGACCCTCTTCTTGTCGTGCGTGTGATCCGGCTCGGAAGACATGATGGCCGTAAATGGGGTTGTGACGTTGATGGAAGCAAGCTTGAGTGAACAAAGGTGTCCAGTGCCCAAAAACAGGCGGAGCGAGACACGGATTTAAAATGGAACGAGAGATGAGTACTGAAAATGAAAATGAACCGATAGATCAGAATCAGAGAGCGAATCCGACGGCGGCAAAGTGGAGATAGAGGTAGGTAACAGGAATGATGATGTTTAGCTTCCTACTGCTCTTAGAACTGATGATGATGACTTAAGCCCGGCGCTTATGTCATCGCGTTGTCCGCCACAACGAAGCGCATGGAACTCAGTCGATTGGGAGCCTTGATGCCTGGGGCAACGACCGGTAGTTGCTACAGTAAATATGGTTACCAAGGTCCTTGAAATAATACATCCAGCCGAGAGAAACATGAAATGTTCCAATCACTACAACTACAGCAACTCTAAAGGGCAAATAGAAAAGCCATGGTGCAATTCCCTCAAAATTGAAGAAATTCCAGCTCTGGGTGGCTGGACTAAGACAAGGAACCCATACTTTGGCACCATAGAAGCAATGCCGGACAACGTCGAATCTCCCAAGTCCTCGGATGGAGACCTATTTGGCCTGTGTGAATGCTCAAAGGATGGAGAAAGGTCATACACCGAGAAGGAAATGATATCTTTAGTTGTTGATCCGACAAAGGCTTGGGTCGAAAGAAATGGCAGCACTGCTATAGCCATCGGAGCAATTGTGTCAAGGCAGGTCTATATTCCGAAAAACTGGTGTAGAGCTAGAAAATGCAAAGCCAATAACAAACCATGGGCGCTGTCAACATCAGGTATATGTGCAAGTAAGAGGAGATTTATACAAATAAGAAAAGAAGGGAAAGCAACACAAGCAGCCCAATATCTATGCTTTAAGTTTTGCGGTTCCAGCCCAGCAGTCATGGAGACTCCAAGCCCCAGCGCAGAAGCTGATAAGCCCGGTCAGGCTATCGGGAATACCGATGCCTTTCTCGACACACCAGTGCAGACACAAGGGTGCCCAGATGACGTTGTTCACCATGCTCTTTCGCCAAGCCCGGATCTCCAAACGCAGTGCCTCGCTATCTTCGGCCTTGGTCTCTTTGGTCTCGACCGTGCCGTCAGCCGCTCGCTGTGCAGCTAACCGCTGTCTGCGCAGCACACTCTGACGCCAGAGCACGAAGAACTGGAAGAAGATGTGCCCGAACCATCCACGAGTACTCCAGATATCCCATTTGGCAACGCCGCCGTATTTGTCCACGAAACGCTTCGAGACAACCCCCTTAGAAGCAAGGTAGCCCACATTCTCGAGAAGCTGGTAGATCACGTTCGAGATGACCTGCAGGACGGTCAGGGCGTGGAGGATGGGGTCAGCTGGCGGCGATTTGAGGGTTTCAGCTCCCCAGATCCACAAAGGGAGCAGCCCGAACAGGCGCAAGTTGTATCTCGTCTCTGATGCGAGGGAGGAAAGGGCCGCGAATTTCGATTTTGACGACGCGGGAGTGATGTTCTTGGTGGGTACACGACCCTTCAGTCGCGCAAGGATGCCCAGCCTTGTTTGCAATGCTATCCAGGGCGCTGACGCAGTGAGGTGGTGGAGCATTGAGGCGACATAGTTGATAGTCGCTAGTACTCGCTCTTGTCCGTTTGCCTCCGAGAGTAGTCTGCGGGAACGGTCAGCGATATTCTTGATCTGTGTCGCACGCCGAGCTGTCGCCCTGGCATATTAGGATCGAAAGGGGCCTTACAGGTCCAGCCGGCGGATTGTCACATCGGTTGTTGTCAAGGCGGCCAGCAGTTGTCGCTTCGTGCATGAGCTCCCAGCGGGTGCTTTCCCCGCCTGGACGTCAGTCGCCTCGCCTGGAGTGTGTTCAGGGTCGGACATCGTGTATGATGAACATGAGAAAGAGAGAAATAAAATGCCCAGGCGAGGTTGGGTGAACTCGCACAAGCGGAACCGAGGCTCGGAACTTAAAGGAAGGTCGATCTAATCTCCGACGGTTATCCCCCAGCATTTTAGTCATCTCCTGACCTGGCGACAGCCGCTATATTTGACTTAATTCGTTTAGTATATATCTTTTTTACTCATAGTTATCTTGCTAGTCTATACGGTAGTATACTATGTAAATACATTGGTAACTATGCAAACGAATCACTACATAGTACCACCCTCTAGGCCCGGACATGATGTATCCTTTTTGACATCTTCATCTGATTTATGTGCTTAGTTCTATTCATATGGGTACGGAATACTTAATTTAATATCATTTACACGGTTTACATGTTTCTACTGATTTCATACTTTTACTTGGAATCATGGTTGGAAATTCTTCATTGGGGAAAATCCCCTACTCTTACATGTGGAATCCAAGTTCCACCCCGCTCATCCTCTCCTCACATGCCGCTCACCCCCCCGCTCATCTCCGCCTGACTGCGGCCTCACCTCACCTCCACCTCTTCCTCACCCCGGCTTCATCCCCCCTCCCTCTCCCCCTGTGAATGTAGCAATGCCCAAATGGGCTATATATACCTCAGTTTTCTGCGGGCGGCGCTCCCCCAGACCACTTACGCATTGTACCTTGGGTACAGCAGGTTGGGATTTACCTACTGCACCCCAGTGTACTCAGCTTCGTGGTCTGGGGGAGTGATGATGATACGGGGCGCAAGGGTTGAGAGTTCCTCATCAGTCCGTTTGCGGACTGGGGGGCAGGCGAGGCCGGCAATGAAAGGTAGGCGGACACCTCCGGAGTCATCGGAGTCATCAGGACTCCTGGATCGGTGCCGCCACCTCTCGTTGTCCACCCCACCAACCCCCTGATAGCACCTTCACCCCGTATAATCATGATCGCCGCCCGCATTCTCATCAGAAGATGTTGAACCGTCTTCATCTCCCCGGTCGACACTGTCCTCGGTCAACCGGGGAGATGAAGACGGTTCAACATCCTTGTTTGCAGATCCGCCAGCATTTATACCAGACTTCTGCCCCGCCATTCTTCAGAATGGTCCCTCGATGGACCCCGACCCTCAGAAAAAGCATCGCTGAAGTTGCTTCCAGCTCGTCGAAGGGATCTGCCGCGTCGTACTTCAGAATCCCCATCGCTCGGTGGGTCATAATCAGAATTGTCGGTGAAGTATGAGATGTTACTGCTGTGTGAGCGAACGGGGCTGGCTGCACGGGGCATTTGTGGAAGTCGACGTGAAAGGATGTGGCCTTCGATCTCGTCATCCTGCAGCGGGAAAGCTTCGGACATGGCTGATCCATGTGCATGCTGCAACGGGAATTCGAGTATGAGCCATCCATATCCATTCTGGAAATTGAGGTCTTCGATATTTTGTTGGTTGTTCCTAGCCGGGCGACTGGCGAGCAGATTTTCAAATCGTCTGAGCTCAGAATAATTCTGCAACGGGGAATTTTCGAGCATGGTCAATGGATGTGCATGCTGAGAATTGTGATCTTCGATATTTTGTTGGCGGTTCCTAGCCTGGCGACTGGCGAGCAGGTTTCCAAATCGGCTGCGCTCCCGTCGGCGACTCCGTTGGCGACGGTATCTGTCCACTTGGCGACTGGCGAATTCACGAATCTGCTGACGGAGCCCAAGGCCAGCGTGGCGACCGGCGGATCCGAAATGTTGCTGAACAAGGCTAACATGGCGACTGGTGAATCCATTATGTCTACCATGGCGCAATCGAAAGTATTGGCGAATGCTTCCCACAATCCCTGTGCCCTCATTAGGGCTTACGGTAACTGCATCGGATTGATCCCTCTCGGTGGGGCTGCGTTCCTCGGCGATGGCTGCTGCTGTGCCTTGAGGCTCCGGCGCCTCGGCATGGAAGCCAGAAGGGCCCAGTGCCTGCATGTCGTAGTGGTGCGAAGGCATGAGTGATGTCGCGTCGGGGTGTCTCGTCCCCGACAGAGATGGAATTATTGCGAATGAGAAAGGAAAAAAATGAAAGGTAAGGTCTCACCGCTGTGCTGCAAAGAGGCTTACACGCGGGAAAAGTGCTCAATACTTCGGCCCGCGACTGGGAGCCGGGAAGTACGGTGCTATGCTTGGGTGTGAACAAGTCTGGCCGGTGTACTGCCAGAAGCTTACACGCCGAAAGATGCTTGGTACTTCAGCCGCAGACTGGAGCCGGGGAAGTACGTCGCTGTGCTTGAATGTGAACAGATATGGTCTCGCCGGTGTGCCGCCACAAGGCTTCCACTAGAGAGATGATGATTGATGCTTCGGCCGGCGGCCGGAGATACGCTGATGTGATGAAATGTGATGAAACAGATGAAATCGGGTTAAATCAATGAGAGAATGGGATGGATGGGTGGATGATGGAACAGATGAGATCTGAAGAAAGGAGGGGTGGTGTTGACATGCACCAGGCGGGTCGTTTGATGACATCGTCGCTGACTCGTTTGCCGGTTGAGTGGACGCTCTGGTGGATCGATCACCTGGGCAGGTATGTTGATGGCATCGTCGTGCCCGACAACGACCCCAACAGCCCCGACGAACCGCTAGTATACCTCGCCGTGCTCATACGTGGTCATGTGGACCTTCCCATGGAATTTATTGCTATCATTGCACATACTTTTTGAATGGCATAGAGCAAAACTAATGATGACAGGTTTTGATTTTTACCTGGCCTGATATCAGAATCACCGATCCTATGCATATATGTTCGATATAGCATAACATTTCCCGGTTGCTGCTCGCCGGCCTATGTATACAATTGGCTAATATGTCGTATGCCGACATTACGACGAGACACAAGCTATAACAAGCTTGAGTGTTACAAGGGCTTGCTTTATGTCTATCAACTATTGGGGGGATTATATTGTCAAAATACGTACTACAACCATGTAGGAATATAGTAATTCTCCTTTATTACTTTGCCTCCGGGGCCCTTTTTACGGGAAGAATATAGGCTAATAGGCTGGATGATGAATTGTCATACTACTATTATGTAGACTCATTATATAGACAGTGAAGACAAAAACGTCCAAAGGTACATACATAGTTGACGGGCAAATTCCTCGTAAATATAACGTGCAAGTAGTTATAGAATGTAGTACCTACATGTAGAATATGTTGTACTCCATAACTATAGGATATGCACACTACAAACGATCCGAACTGACAAGCTCCACATCCTACATGTAATTCATTTAGTCTTGAGTAACCAGCTCGAATCAAGCAGAAATCTGAAAAGAGACAATTCGTAGAGGTGTTAACCTTAGAACTTTGAAGTGACAACCCCGTGACCATAGAAGCCCTGGGAATTGGACCAAAAATATAGCAAACAGTAAAACTTCCCTGATCAATCATTGGGATCTATCTGTAAATCATGAATCTATATACAACATTGTGAATAATAGGGGGTAAAAGCCGTCAAAGCCCCCGGATTCAATCAAAAGCCGTCGGGGGGTTTCCGATGAGCTCCGCCAATGGATCTCGCCGGGGATCCATCTGCCGATTGTTCGTATAGCCGTCTCCATTTCCTGGATATAATCTTCCGACAGAATTTATTCAGGAGTTATATCCAGAGTTGGGAGATATTTTGTGTGAGTTATATATTGAAAAGCCTCGGCTGTCCATATCCCATCCCAGCCACCCTCGGGCCAACGTAAACAAACAAGCCCCCCGGTCTCACCCCCCATCATCTTCCCAATTTCTCCACTTGGCACCTTATCATCCATTACATATTAATCCCATTCAATTATTAACTTCTTCTAGGAGCGTGTTTAATCTGAAGAGCCCTCCTAAGCCGTCCTGAATCCTCCTGAATCCTGTCCTCCCCCAACCCCCTCCGATCACCACAATGTCCGTCAAGTTCCAAGAGAAGACCGTCCGTACTGTCACGGGCGGCGGCAAGTCCGAAGACCTCGTGCATCGCGTCGGTGAGCGATTGACCGGTGGGAAGACAGCCGCTGGGTATCTCCAGGTATGCAGCGACCCCTCTCCTCCAATAATATCGAACCGACACTGATCCGGGGAATGGATCGTCAACAGGCCTACCTCCTCCAGCTCCAGAAGAACCCTCTGCGCACGAAGATGCTCACCTCCGGTGTGCTCTCCGGTCTGCAGGAACTGCTGGCTTCGTGGATCGCCCACGATGTCGGCAAGCACGGCCACTACTTCAGCTCGCGCATCCCCAAGATGTCGCTGTACGGAATGTTCATCAGCGCGCCCCTCGGCCACGTCCTCATTGGCATCTTGCAGAAGATCTTCGCCGGCCGCACAAGTCTGAAGGCTAAGATTCTCCAGATCCTCGTTAGCAATCTGATTGTACGTTGTCGTCACTGCGATCACCTGACCCGAGCTTTGCTAATATGCCCCCGTTTCTCCAGATCTCCCCCATCCAGAACAGCGTCTACCTGACCTCCATGGCTGTTATCGCCGGTGCGCGCACCATCCACCAGGTTCGCGCTACCGTTAAGGCTGGATTCATGCCCGTCATGAAGGTCAGCTGGATCACCTCGCCCCTGTGCTTGGCCTTCGCTCAGAAGTTCCTCCCCGAGCACACCTGGGTGCCATTCTTCAACATTGTTGGATTCTTCATTGGAACCTACGTCAACACCCACACCAAGAAGAAGCGTCTGGAAGCTCTCCGCAAGGTATGTTATAATTGTGGTTGGAATTGCGACAAGACTTGATTGCTAACGAATTGACAGCGTTACGACCAGCGTCGCGACCCCGGCTACGAGAAGCGCGACTTCCCTTAAATGGGCCGAGTCCGCAATTGACTGCAAACATACCCGGACACGTCGGAGACCTATGCGTATCGTCTCTTCTGGCTCGTTTGCAGTCAATTATTTGTCTTTTTCCTTTGTTATTATTCTCCGGTGTTGATCTAAATCCATGTACACACCCCCAGTGCATCTTGACATACCGCTGATATCTTCCCCCTGATGTTATCACTCAATCTCATGACGAATGGCTTTATATCTTTGTTTTATTTCAATTCCACCCCTTGCAGATCGGTATTATATATATATTTTCTCTCCGTTTGAGTTAATCGCGCCATTGCTTCTACCTCGCCCATTTGTACTTCTACATATATATGCAAGTCGGAATAGATAGAACCGAAAGAAATGCAACTGCCCTTGACATGAAACGGGCACACGTGGTCGTTGTTAATTTATCGTAACTATAAAAGATCTGAGACATAGGAAGGATGTCAGTGGATACGACGAGTGGGCAAGGTACAAGTAGACATGGATTCCGAAGAGTAAATAACGGGTCATGCCACACAAGCCATGTCCCAACCCATCCGGAAATGAGAAGAAACAAATCCCTCATATCCGATATCCACGAATAAACCAGAGGCCACCTTATTCAACCTCCATCTCCGACCCCTTCCCCCTCTTAGCCTGCACCCAAGCAACAAAGTCATCCAGAGCACCGGGCCAAGCCCCATCAGGACTCCACCAGCCCATCTCCTCATCCTCCAGACTCTTGCGCATAAACACCTCAACCTGCTCCCACAGATCCTTATTAACGGGCTTTTTCCCGCGCTCTTCGAGGAACTCAATCCACCAATCCAGCCACGGCGTCGTTGCCGTGTTCCACGCCACACCGCCATGATCAGTCGTGAAGAAGAGACGCCACTGCTCGGCGGCGATTTCGAATTGCAGGTTGCGCTGTCCTTGCATTCGTGAGAGAGGGAATGCGTATCTGTAGACTCGTCGGAATGTCTCTGGTTCTCGTGGGATTCTCTCCCGGAGGAGCTTGGCGTGCGCTTGCATTTTTGGCATGGTGTCGCAGCTTGTGGGTTGTTAGATTGGATGGATATGACATTGAGAATGTTTGGAGTCTGGGTTGAAAGGGGGGTTTCTTCGTTGGAGTTGCACTTACAGAGCTCTCAGCCATCCTTCCATCCATCCCTCGCGAGTGAACTCGCCCATGGATGGTGATTGGAGTAGCTCGGCGATGGCTAGGCAGGTTACTTCGTCGAGCTCGACCTTCAAATCGCCCAGGAAATCTATTGCTCGTGTGATACCGATGGTATCTGGGCTGTCCACTGGGTCATCTGTGGAGATATGAGTATTTTGGGTATAAAATCACCAGTCAAGAGTGGGTAAGTACCTCGGTAGCGTTCGAAGATCTTTGTAAGTTCTGAGGTTATAAGTGCAGAGGTGCCAGCCGCAGCGGCGAAGAAACTATTTCAACGTCAACATTAGCTTGGGGTATTTCAAGTGTGGTCCATGTATGATTTCGTTGGAGGGAGATGGTTAGGCATATTGTCATGGGGCTAGGGAATGGCAAGCACTTCTTCTTCGTCTTCTTCACTCGAGGCATTTGGAATGATGGATGATGTGGTGAGAGATCAAGAATTTCTCCAAGTGAAACTTAGGCAAGCCTTGGAAAGAGCAGAGCAGATGTTGGAGCTTTGATGTTCTAGCTATCTGCTAGCATCTTGGACTCAACACCGCATGTCCAGGTAGGGGTTGGAGACAAATAAAACAAAGAGACACAAAAGTTTGGTACAAGTTTGATAACAAGCACTTACGCGTCAAGCGCTGGAGGTAAACTCCATCCACATGCTTTAAGGAACTATAGCAGAAAGTTAGTCTTTTGATCCACGTGACCGGACAGAAGCGTCTTAAGATATTCAAACGGACCGCATAGGGGAGAATACGTCAGGAAAGCATGCAAGTTACTCACTTTAGTAGCAACAGATTCTTTTGTCCGTGTACAGCTGACAAACTCAGCGATTTGGTGTTTCTGGCTGGTTGTGTAGGGTGGCATGGTGGGGGTTGGCAATATTTGTGCCCACTGCGCGGGGGAGAAACGCGATAAGTGGTGGGAACACGCTATGGGATTGAAAGCGCCTGGTTTGTAGTGCTGATGTGAGAGAAATTCTCTTTGGCTTGGAAGACACAAGAAACACCAGGGCTATGAGGTCTGTAGTGAGTTATCATCCCGCGCCTTTCCCAGGTCTGATGGCAATGTGCTGACTCATCAAGTTTCCCAAATAGTCCTACTTTGTATATCAACCAAACCTAGTCACTTGTATGCATATAGACTATACATCCATGGATAAACTTGGCATGGCTATTGATATTCATTACATTGAACGTGGATTTGTGTGTATTCAGAGTATGTATTTTCATATAGTAACCATTACAGAGAAGTTGTTGGTCAACTTTTGCCATCAATTCATCACATTACAAGCAATGAGCACAGGATTCGATGGTAAAAAGTACAGTCAACTTTTGTAAGATCAAATAGATCAGGTAAAACTCCCAAACGCCTTTTGTGAGGTGCAAACATGTAAGATTCGGTGTTATGTCGAACGTGCTTAGGTTGTGAACAACGTATCCTCCTAATATGGGTGTTAGTAATTTGGCCCTGGAGAATTTGAAAATAGACCCAACTCACCTCTCTAAGGTACTCTCCTGTGTCTGCCTGTTCGTTTGTGTTAGCCAATGGAAGTAAGAACGCAGGCATAAGCTGCACCTACCTGACGGTGGACCGCGATACTGGTAGGATCCAATTTTGCGATCTGCGCAGATGACCTTGCTGTAACTCCGAATCCCAGGGGTACATCTGAGGAGTCCATAATAACCACGCACGATCCTTCGGCCAAATCTTC